AACACTTTAAGAGAACGTTTACACAGCCACACACTTTGTGCACAGAATTTGTTAGCATGTGTCCCATTTCACTAAAAACAAATATTGCGTTAGTATAGCTGTGTTTTCCTCCACAGAGGTATTACTGTCAACAGATACATTAATAATTACTTATATGGATTCAAAGCTGTATCTTTTATAAGATTCTGTTTGCTTATTCCATGCTTTATTTACTTTCTTCGTCTACTTTCTGACCCTCACTTTTACAACTAAAGATGTTTCAACAATGAGAAATTAGTAAACAGTTTTATAACTGTAAGTTTCCATCTGGATTTTTCCATCCGTTGTTTATGCCTTCAGATTCTACACTAAGATCATGAATGTTTGCAGGGATTTATTTGCAGCTTGTGCAGGTCAGTTCTGTCATTCATGTATTTAGGAGATGACAGTGGTGTCATTAGGTAACGGCGCAGATATGGGTGAAATTCAGTTTGGAGCTCAAGTCGCATTTTGTCTCCTCTGCCAAAGTGTCAAACTCTGCAGGGTGACATGTCGCCTACCCTCGATCCAGTAAACAAACCACTGGGTCTGTGGGCCCATGTGACTTTTGTATACAAACCTTGGTTTGATTGCTATTGGGCACTGGAAAACCAAAATAACCAAATACACAAAAAAGTCATCTTTTCCACTCAGGCTCGGAGCAAAGAATAGCAGCTCTGAAGAATAACAGCTGCAGAGGGCAGAGCATAGTGATGCATGCGTGTCACACCGGACGCTTATGTAAATCCAGCCTCTCATTTCAGATAAAACAAAAAAAAAGAACCAAACAAACAACAACTGTGGGATGTTTTGGCAACAAGTTGTGTAAAAGTGGAGGCGAATGTCAGATCGACATCAGCGTGGAGTCATGATTGGATGTAAACAGTCGTAAGACTTTTTTTTTTTTATCTCCGAGTTCAGCGCAAGTTGAAACCTGAAAAAAGCCACCATTCAGAAAGTTTACATACCCACAGCCTCCCACTCGCCACGCTCAGCGTGTAGTCAAGTGTTTTCAGCTGGATTTTATTGGGAGAACACGGTGTGGCGATTTGACCCTTCGCTTACCTCACATGTCCCGCCTCCTGCCTGTCATAAAGCCTGACTTCCCAGAGCCCGTGGAGGATTTGGTTGTGGTATTGTGGCTGACATGAAAACATGAGGGACTGCTCACAGCAGCAGTTTGAGTAGAAAATCAGTGTCAGTCCTGCCGCTCTGACCGACATGTCTTTCCCACGTTTCAAAAAAAGGGAAAGAAATGCTTCAGAAGCACAAAGGCTGCGACAGCTGAGGGCTTTTAGAGGTTTTCTGTCATATGACAAAATTATGTCATTCTATTAATGCTAAATCTTCACAATCTCTCCTCACTCTTCCTGCCTCCTATCTCTTCTCTGCTTCATTTGCTCAAGTGTCTGAAATCTTTCCACGGCTGTTTTGGTTGATTTTGGTCACCAGCTTTGAAGTTATTTATAATCTGTGGCGCCGAGCCTGGAGCTCCAAAAAAGCGTCTTACAAATGTCGCCACAGTGGAGGTCTGAGTAGTGGCGGATGATTGCTCAACTAGCATTTTTATGCCTCTATTCCAAGGAAGAAACATTTGCGGGGGGGAATATGTTTTTTCAATCAGAAACGGGAAAGAAATGAAGCAGCCGGCTGAAAATAGAGCCGCTCTTCTATTATAGTGTTACATTCAGAAATATAGCTGCAGGGAAAAAGCTTCACTGCCACACAGTTTAGTATCCGCATCCAGGAATCGCTTCCACAGATTTTGCCCCCTCCCCCACTCTGCCACACTTCCACTTCCCAACATTTAAATAATTGTGTTCATTCTTAATTATTTGAACCCCCTTTTAGTGCTTTGGTAGCTCATGTAAAAGTGGCGTTTGAGTAAAGCCAGCTGGAGTCAACACAGGGGGAAAAAAGTCCACTGCAGCACCATCTCTGAATCATCTGCTCTCTTCAAATAGTTTTTTTCTTTCCTTTCTAACCACATTTGTCTAAATGTGTGGCTCATGCATAATCATTCTAAATCTTTAGCCAGCACTAGGATGTTCTTTTAAATATCAGACACTGCAAAGGGTTAAAGAAAAAAGCTCCTCTCTTCTGCATGTCGTAAATCGAGTATGACACGTTCCTGGCTCGATGGTGACACTTGGTGGTGACTTGGCATCACTACGGAGAGACAAGATGCTTCTTGTCGTCGAAATTTGAAGTCGAATGTGAAGAATTAAGCGCGTTGTTAAAGGTGTAGAAGAAACGGTGATATGTTCAGGTTTAATGGGGAAAAGCATTTGAATATATTGTCCACTGTGTATGGGATAATCCTACTTATCTCAGTGGGAATCATTCCTGGCTCTCTGCTGCTCTCTGGATAAAGGATGAGAGGCAGAGTGTGCAGCACATGTGACTCTGCAGCCAGCGGCCTCTAGAGTCCAACAGCAAACACTAAAGCTGGAGGGGTTTGACCTGAGTGGGATTTAAACACTGAGACAAAAACGTCTCCCCGTGCTTTGCTGCTTTTTCCCAAAACCTTTTTTTTATGATCTTGAACATACTTGAATTAGATATTTTCATCGCCTAAAAGAGTTATAAGTGCATATCTTTGTATATTCAGTCCTACCAGAGGTCCTGTCATGTTTAGCACAACACTGGACATCAAAACCTCAATTATTGAATTTAAATAAAATTTTATCTTGATTTTATTTGCTTGTAGGCAGAGCTCTCTAAAGCTTCTGTCTCACCTTCAGATTTAGATATTTAGAATTCAGTGACGCTGATTCAGTTTTATCTAGCTGAAGGACCGATGCATCTGTCCGTCCAATGAAAGAGTCGCTACTCCTCTCAGGATATTGGTCCAATTTTAGTGAAGTGAGATACATTTGACTTTGATGTCACTGTTAGTGTAAAGCTGCTTCTCAAAAGTCATTTGTCATTGTCACTGGATTTGAACTTTCATTAGTTTGTGCAAAACAGTCCAGAAGGCAAGAAAAGATCCCCCCCCCCTCGTACAGGCACATTACAATAACCTGTGAACTGTGATGGATCATGATGAAGTAACACGTCACTGACATATTGTAAAAATGAGTATTTTTAGATGCATCTGTTTCTTGTTTAGTTATTAAAATGAAGATCATACATAGACTTGGAGAGGCTGTTACCTTTTTGCATGCAGAGTGGTCAGAAATCACCCACAGGCAGAGCTGATAGCAGCGTCGGTGTCAATAAAATCTTATCCATGTCCATCCCCGGGGCTGTTTATTTTTCATCCCATAAAAACAATAAATTATTAAAATATTCTGAGTTCAGAAAGTTTGATCTACACTATAAGTCAAAGTTTGCAGAAGTCATTGCAGTTCAGATGGATAAAAGCTGAATATAAGACAAAACAAACGATATTAAAACATAACCAAAAATATACAATAATAAGCTCTTTAAAATAAATTCAAAGGACATAACATCAAATAAATGACAGTGAAATATCAGCTCTACAAGTAGAAAAGAAGTAGAGTGAAATAAATTGAGAACAATCAGAGCGTACTGGAAATAATAAACTAAAAACACATCAATAAATAAAATAAATGTATAAGGATAATAAAAACATAAAATAAAATAAAAGGTACCATCATCCAAAATGTCAGTAAATAAATATAAAGCAATAAAAAATGCTGGTTAAAAACAGTTTAAAGTTGAAAAGTCTGTCTCCTGGTGTTTCATAGGGCAGACATGTCAGGCTGTATTCAGAGTGTAGTCATGTTTGTACATCAGCTAAAACTAATAAATTCACTGTGACCATCGAGAACAAATGTAAGTGTGTAAATGAATCTAAATGTAATTACATTGTTACTCCTTTAAATATAATACAATTTAACAGAGTGTTTTTCCAGTGTCCTGATTGGTGGGGATTGTTTCATGTCGTCATCTTCAGTTCGCATCTCTGTGGCGTGCGACCGTCCTCGGTCAGGGCAGATGGGCTCTAATCTGCAGATAAAACTAGATGCTGATGATTGGACAGCTAAACGAGTAATTAAGCTGCTGATTTTGGACTGTAGTGCAGATTATTGTTCACTGGAAAGACAATTAACAAGCGCTCGTATTCTTTCTCTCTGCTCCCTTCTTGCCTCTTTTTTAGTTTATTCACACAACAAGTGTCACATATTGCCAACAAAAAAATTTAATTAAACTGGCAAAAGTAACACATGAACAATTAACGAATGGCACCATAAAAATGTTGCACTGGCAGGGATTCTAATAACCGATAACAAATTAAGAGGCAGTATGATTTTTAGTTATGTAATAAGATCTAATATAAATATCTGAGACACAAAAAAGGAAGTTCAGAGAAAAAGCATCTCTGAAGAACTCAAATAGTCTGCTTCATCTGGAAGTTTACATTGTGATAAACGCTACCATGAAAACATCATCAGTGCTCATGTCATGTTTGTGTATCTGTGTCCTGTCCACACTTTAACGTGGCGAGAACAGCCTGCAGGCTAATGTCACAGTCCGCTGTCAGTAGCTGTTTAATGATCCTGGTGCTGTGACTCATCTTAATCTCAGTGTGCGACCCTCTGTTTTATATGTTACACACAAAAAAAGTGATTTTCATGTCAGTTTTCCGGGTGGCACGAGCAAATTTACATGTGAGAAAGAGTTCTGATGGCAAATGTTGTACTTTAATTCTCATGAGCTTTTTATTTCCAGTATGATGATTAAGACAATTTTTAAGGGATGCCAGAATATAGCTGACATTACTGAAACTTGATTTATTTTGTAAGGAACCGTGTGGATTCATGTATATTATATATAACATGTTCCTGCAACTAGAAGCTCACTAACTCACTAATCTGTCCAGGTACTCCACTTCTCATCCTGTAGAAACTGTGATGGGCTTCAGCTGATAACTGGAAGATTGATTATAGATGGGTATCTTAGCTGACAAGCTAATCATTTGATCTGAGATAACCAACATTTTCTTTCGCTTCCAGGTGGTCAGGCAGTGCCTCAGGACCCGTCACCCCCTTCTACCTGCCCTCCGGCCCCCCCTGGACCTCCAGCCGGCACCAACGGCAACAGCGACATCATGGTGAACTTTGACCCTGACCCGGCGGACCTAGCGTTGTCCAGCGTGCCAGGCCAGGAGGCATTTGACCCACGGCGGCACCGCTTCACGGAGGACGAGCTGAAACCTCAGCCGATGATCAAGAAGGCCCGCAAGATGCTGGTTCCCGACGAGCAGAAGGTACTACATCTCCCACAATCCTTTTGTTTCCTTTATGTCCAAATTCACTACAGGAAAGGATTTTTAAAGCTATTTGGGGAAAGAAAATGCTCCGCTGCTTGCTGTGTTTCTAATTTAATGGCTAGTAAAATATATATATATCCATAATGGACCAGTTTCCCGTTTTAAATTTAGTTGTAGAGTCTACTTTTTAAAAATCTACTTGCAATTTCAAAATTGTTTTTGCAGCACAAGAACGCAATTTTAATTGTATTCAAAAATAGAGTTTGGGATAAATTATTTTATAAGATGAAATGAGTAAAATCAAATTAAATACTTAAAATAAAATAAAATAAAAATTAAAAATAAGGCCCACTAGTAAATCTCAGGTGTTGTAAAGGTACCTAAAGATAAAACCTGCATAAAGATTCACATATAACTCAGCAGAAGGTTACATTTTCCTTTAGTATCTGTCTTAAATAGAAGCCACAGCCACGTTGTTTCATTTTAAACTCTAAACTTCATCATAACAAAAGGCCACGGCTCTGACAGCTCCTGTGCGGAGTGGAAAAAAAAAAACGAAGGGAGCGTGACGCCCACTGGTATTGATGCCTCCTGACGGGAATCCTGAAATATTTTGTACTCAGCTCATTGCACACTAGGAAAGTCTCTGATCAATGGCTCGTGCTTTCATAGTTCAGTGCGGAGCAGCTGCAGCTCCCGAGGCGTTTATAATTTATGGAGAGATGGAGGCGCTCACCTTGCTCTGTTCAGCCGTTGCCGGTTTTATAAATCATATATAGGAAGGTTGGAAAAATGATCTCCGGCCAGAGTTAAAGATGAAGTTGAGAACGGCTTCTCATAAACGAGCTTTAATATTCCGCTCTACGGTTAAGATTTATCTGCTCTCATGAGCAGGAAAGTCTGGCTTGGATTAAAAGTTATGAAATAATCCAGGATCTAATTAGTGTTTATATTTACACAAATCAGAAAGCAGCAATATTCCCAAGATCTCTTTAAAAATGTTGCAGAGGGATACAATAATAGCTGTGTTTAATTGTGGAATGATGCTAACTTTAACCAGATGTTAAAGATCCTTATTAAAGCTCTCCATGAAGGCAGTGAAGCATGTGGGCTTGCTTCCCGGCATAAATCTTTCATATCTCTACGAGGTTGTATTCTCAGATTGACCTCCTATTTTGCTCTATGGGTCCCAAAGTTTAACACAACATCAGGGCTGCTTCCAGTCTTCTTCTTGTGAGACTTTCATTGGCCAACAAATTCCTTTCCTGGCAAAAAGTCCCCAAAGTAACGTTGCAGGCTTTTGTGGGGCCGGAGGTCATGTCCGCGGCGTATTTATTCATTCGGCTGAGGCGCTCGGCAGGTCAGAAGAGAGCTGCATTAGGAATGACATGCCTCATAAAAAGTTATTGATAATGTTTTCACAAGCACTTACTGGTGTTTTCCGTCAAACTGATTCCTTTTGTAGTCATTGCAAGATGAATATTATTGGTCTTTTGTGTATGCAGATCAGTATATTGCTAGATGTCTATGCGTCTATGTGTGAAAAGGTGTTTTAATATAAGAAATTAAGAGTTAGAGTAGCTTATCTTACACCGTGACCTGCAGGCAATAAAAAGCACAGAAAAGCTGTTGTTGGTAATTCTAACTGCAGTTTAAAGGAGTATTTCAAATATATATATATATATATACACACACACATATATATACACATATACATATACACACATACACATATACATATACACACATACACATATACATATACACACATACACATATACATATACACACATACACATACACATATATATATATACATATATTATATATACATATATTATATATATATATATATATATATATATATATATATATATATATATATATATATATATATATATATATATATGTGTGTGTATATAAACCACAGCTATCCTAAACTACTTTCTTCACTCTGTAAATCTGTTTAATGAATGTTCATCTTCTCTAAGCTGCCATAGCAAACATTTACTGCTGAGAAGCAGTAAATGCTAACCCCTGAAACATTTTAATTTATCTAGTGCAGCTACAAGCTTTAGGATAAGAAGTATAGCACTTTTTATGTGGTATACATCACACCTGTGTTTGGGATGTTTTATGCTTTTGAATCCAACCACAGTCTGCTGCTCATAACTGAGTGTCATCATGGTGACGTTATAAAAATGGCAGTCATAGTTTTGTTATTTTGTACCTGTGACTATTCAGCTGTTTCCACCTTTCGTTCCTTTCTCCCATTTTTGACACCCTCATCAAATGACTGAACCTTCTCATCCCACTCTCTCCTCTTCTTTTGTTTTTTTGTTTTTTTTTCTTCTTCTCTCCTCCCTCCACCTTCCTCCCCACACACCCCAACATACCACACCGCCGCCGCCGACAGGATGAGAAATACTGGAGCCGGCGAGTGAAAAACAACGAGGCGGCGAAGCGCTCGCGGGACGCCCGGCGACTGAAGGAGAACCAGATCTCAGTGCGCGCGGCCTTCCTGGAGCGAGAGAACGCCGCCCTTCGCCAGGAGGTGGCTGACATGAGGAAAGAGCTGGGCCGCTGCAGGAACATCATCAACAAGTACGAGAGCCGGCACGGAGACTTGTGAGGAGACGGACGGAGGCGGAAAAGGCGGGAGGGGCATCGGAGATGAGACAAGGGTACAAGGCAACCCAGCAACAGCAGCACTTTAGTTGAAGTGGCGAGTCGGGGGTGGGGGGAGGCTGACGTAGATCTGCAGTAAGCACCGTGCGACACCGGGCGCAAACGCCACAAGCGTCTTTTAGCGCGCGCACTGTGCTTCAGGATGTCATGACAGGAAAGCACAGCGGCGCCACAGTTTATTTTCCGAGTTTGACTCTGTAGATGCTGCTTTGCTGAATCCACACACCGTACTGTATCACCACCTCGTGACACCTCGGCAGCTTTACCCTTGGTGCTGTGCTTACGCCCGGTGCCGCATGGCGTTTTTGCAGGTAGTGCGTTTCCATCCGCTGCTCTGGCCAGTTCAAACAGGGTGTTGAATTCACAATATGCCAGTGAAATCTCACTTTTTAAGCTCAAGGCATGGACACAAGCCAGAAGAGGTCAGATGTGTAATTTTTTGTTTTCTATAAATAGGAAAAAAAGAAAACATGTATATTTTTGAACTGGGCAGGAAAGCAAGACTAGTCCAGCAAAGAGGAGGACGGGGGGAGGAAGAAGAGCAGGGCTTTCGTCAATAACGCAAAGAGATTTTGACATAGGATTATTGTATATTTTTCTATTAGCAGAGGTATTTAGGAGGAGGATTTTGGAGATAATCTTTTGTATATTTTATATATGGGGCGGGAGGGGCTGTTAGCTGGACAGTCACGGGGCCACATAAAGCGCTTTTCCTCCCAGCTGTTTATTGCTAAACAACAAATAATCTATTTTCAAATTTACAGAGCTGGTTAGTCAGAGGAAGAGGTGTAACAGAGAATGTATCACGGTCGAATCAGGTATTTCACACAGCGTGAGACAAGGCGAGGTATTTTAGACTGTTTTCGGCGCTGAAGGGGGGAGGAGGAGGGTGGGCGGAGGCAGGAAGAAGGCAAAACAACAAAAAAATTGTATAGTTTAAAGAAAATCTTTGTGTTTGTTTTCTCTGTGAGCTCGTTCAAGCACTTCAGTTTTTATCTTCTATTTGATTCCGTGTCTGATTCTGACATAAATCGAGGGGCTTTTATTTTTCTTTTTGAAGCTGAAGGAGGAAATAATAATTAGCCATCCGAACAGCTGGATGTGAGCAGATGTGCGAGGATAAGTAAAAGGAGAGATTTTCGCTGGCGGGTTTGCGTTTTATTTCGGTGAATGTGTCTTGCTCACATGTAAACGCACACACACTGACAAACACTTTTAACCATCGCGCAACATGATTGCTTTCGGTTTCTTTACTCATCAATCATGTCTAGGTGCAAAAATTGAATACTAACTGGTTTAAGGTTGATCTGCCCAGATCGAACAGTGACTGAAACACACACACACACACACACACACACAGTCCTCACCAAGGTTTTAACCCTTATTGTTGTTGTTGTTGATGTTGTTAAGGACTTTTATGGTGCTGATCTAATCTGATCCTCGACCTGACACACACACACACACACACACACACACACACACACACACACACACACACACACCTTCTCAAACACAGTACTGAACTGCCTATACCCTTTCTTTGTCTTTATTCCTTATTCTTTATTTTTTCTCTCTTTTTGTTGCATATTGTATTGATGAATCATATATTTAGATTTTCACACACATACTTGTCTATACCTCTCCTTCAAACTTTACCCAATGAGAAAGAGAAATGCACCCTACTGCTACTGTACCATACAACTGTACTATTGACTATTAAACTATTCTCTCACTAGATATATATGTGTATATGATATATGCTTGAATTATGTGATTATAGTTGTAATATACATAATTGAATATATTTCAGAGAAAACTCATTGGAATCATTTTGTCAGTTTTTTCTCAGGTGTTGTCTGAGGTATTAAATATGCATATTAAAAAATAAGAAACACTAAAAAAATCTTTGATCCGATCACAGGATTTGTGGATTGGTTTGTTATTATTATTTTTATTTTTTTGGTTGTATTTTACATTTGCTGTATGAATTTATTGTTATGATTCCGTTTTAGCCCGTTTTTGTTACTAAGTCACCAGCATGGGATAGAAACTCCACAGACTAACTGTAGTTGGCTAAGCCTCGCTCCCCTGTTGCTACGCCTGTCACACTTTGCATTCTACAGTAAAGTTTAACCGAGGGGGTTTTGCATAAAACCTTCTGGTTTCATAGAGTTATTTTGACACCACCATCTAAATACATATGAGAGGTCCATAACTGTAAGTGGTAGAAACTCCAGTCCAATCCAAAAAGAACTGCTTCAAAAGACTGGTGACTACCACCCAAAATAGGGTTAAAAACACTATTTTTCCTCCACAGTCATAGACGGTATAAAAGAGTAACGTAGCTACTCAGATATCATCAATATATACTGTTGTGTGAAGCCTCCTGATGAGTGTTTTCGCCATCTTGGTGCTTTGTAACCAGGTGTGATGACAAGATGCCGATTGCAGTCTAAAACTGCCGGTCAGTCACAAGCCAGTAGCCAATGAGTGTGCCCCATGTAGTCATTTCAAAAACACATTGTGATTAAAATTAACAGAATTTAAAAAAAACAAAAACATTTTATTCTCCATAACTGAGTGGTAAACTTTAGAGAGATGTTTTCCTGTAGACTTTAATCGGACCAAAGCTATTGCCATCTAGTGGCCTTTAGATAGAATGCAGGATTTTGGATAATTCTGCATTAGCTACTTTTTCCAACATGGAAGCTACATCCGTCTTATATAATGTCTATGCACACAGCAAAAGAAGTTCTGAAACTGTGTTTCGAATGCCATTTAATTAAATGTAATACATTTCTGAACACCATGTTTCCTCCCTGTAAAATTAAAGCAGAAAAACTTAAATTCTGGGAGATTAATTAGCTGTAGCTATTATCAACCTAGCTAACAGCTTGTTAACATTAAAACGAAGCTGAAATGAAACTGGTACTTCTGGAAACTTCTTTTTCAGGGGTAAGAAAACCTAAAATCCCAGTCTGACAGTTTTAACTATAAAATAGGTCAAACTAACTGAAACTAAAAACAATACAAATTTACCCAAGTGTAGGCCTGTGACATTAGCTGATTTAATGTTCGCCTCCTACTATACAAAAGATTACTGTTGTAATACTGGAATGTGTCCAGTGAAAAGTTTGAGACGCTAATGTGCAGCCATCACCTTAAAAATAGACAACAGCACCAAGTAATTAACTTGAATTAAAATGTTTTTCTTTCTTTATGAGCTAAATGCCAAGATTAATGATTTTTAGCAGGATTATACTCTGGTTTTATTCGTAAATATTTTTATAGAATTTTATCACCATTTTCTCATCATCTGATGACATCTGATCAGAGTGGGCAGGACTCATAAGGGATCATTTTGTGCAGATGAAAAATCATATGACCTGCAAAATGCCCATTCTGAACCTGGAGCAGGAAGTCAATAACCTTATTGTGATGGCTGTTATATCCGACTGAAGCTTTAGGTTTTGCTGAGCCAGATAACGCAACAAACCCTGGATGTGTTGAACTCTAGTTCCTAGTTCCTCCCTCCTGTTTAGACCAAATATGAGCACACACCCCTTGAAATTCAAGTAGCCCAGCCAGTCTGGACTATTTTAGTGTGTCTAAAAAAAACCCCCACAGCATCTGCTAATTTCCTCCATATTTAATTTAATCCCTCAAAGGCAATTAAAAACTCTTCAAATGTTTGTTTCACTATACTAAGAACTCAAAAATTTGACAGGCTGAATTCGCTACATGTGCTAGGCTGTGATTGGACAGTGACTGAATGGGGGGGGCTTAGCTGACTGTTATATAGAACTGTTTAAATTTACAGAGAGCACTGAAACCTTAGCTCTTGTTACCTGCTATACAGTCACACTTGCAAGTATTATGATTGTTCTTGATATTTCTTTTGTTGTTTTATGCAACAGCTTTTTTTCTTCAGGTGATTTTAGCCTGACATAACTATATTTTCATTCCCAAGGCCGACTTTCACATATCCCATGAGCCTGTTTGCTGCTGGCCTCATCCACAAAGACTTAATCAAGCCACAGGTGTATAATGGGAGTTGTAGGTCTAGCTTTGATATACAGTATGTACTGTATGTTTTCCTTTCCCTTGTCTTCTTTTTTGGGGGGAACATGTTTAAACCTGAGACACAAACTTTTGAATTTAGATCCCTGGAAGAAACTCAGAGCTTCTTACACTTCCATCAGTTGTTGGAAGAAGGAAGTCATCTTTTTTTCTTTTGATATCTTGGATTTGGGGATTTCTTCACAGACCTTTCTGAAACTTTTTGACAGTGCTATTTTTCTATGTAACTGTGTTGTTTTGCGTGGTACAACTTTTTCTGGCGGGTGTTTGAGGCCTGCTCTTCATGTGGCAGCAGTGACAGTCTGCTGCTGTGTGATAAAACGGCATTGCGGGTAATAATGACAACAATAACGATGATGATAACAATAATGTACACAGCCTTGTTATTTCTTCTTCAACTTTGTGGATTCTCAGCTAACTTCCTCTTGTTGTGACTGACTGTTATAAACTGCAAATCCCATGAGCTCGACACTACCCCGGCTCCTCACCAGTATTGTGTGCTGTCCACAGGGATGATGGCATATGTGGTCTTTTTCCCCCTCCAAACACGAATAAAGGCTAATCCTTATTCACCAATAGCGATCTTCTGGTGTCTTGCTGTACGATCTAAAAAGCATGTACAAACCAGCTAGCAACCATCTTAGCAGTAGTTGATGGTCATGTGTGAAGTGACAGCATCTGAAGGGTCGCCACCTGCTGTACAAAACATTGCTGTGGAAGAAACCCTATAGGAGTATTCAAAGGAATTATTAGTTCCTGGTAGCTGACACTTTTTTTTTTAATTTACAGTGTGTTTATTGGTTTTAAATGTAAAAAAATTATATGATTCTTTTTGATAGAAAATCTTCATAATCAACAATCAAATGAACCAGCTAGCCATCAATCCACCTTACACCAACTTTCCTTAAGTGTCAAATGTAGATGAATCCACCCCACCAACCACCACCAAAAAAAGAGCATGTATTATTCTTGATCTTCATTAGGAACGCCAACCACTGACTAAATGAGGAAGGTATGAAAGTGGCCTCCCCCAGATAGGTTGTATATAGTAAAGACATGTACTTGTATAATAAAATCTGCTGGAGACACCTTTTACATGTGGTGGACTTCAAAATTCTTGACATAAAAAAAATGAAGCTCTGTAATGTTTTACATTGTAAGAAGGTGCATTTTAAACCCAAACTAACTTTTTACCTTTGAACAAACATTCTGCTTGACAAGCTTGTTTTGATGTTCATGACTTAAAAGTAGAATCACTCTCTTTATATTTCAGGAGGGCTTATGCGGCTTGTATCTGAAGGTAGGAACAATCAACCAGTGTGATCACTTAGATGGAGCACTTGATGAAAGTTAAAGATATCGAGACACACGCCGACTCTTGTGTTTTGAACTTTTCGTGGCATTTGTTCATAATGGAAGAATATAATTGAAGAGTTCCTCTGCTTTAAAACACCCACCAAATAATATCAACTCTCCAGTCTAAGTGCTGTATTTTTAAAAACAAATGTGTTTTGCCTTGTAGAGTAAACTCTCATGGTGGAAAAGCTGGAAAGGGGTGAGAAACAGTATTGGCTTAGTCTCTTCATGGTATTATTTATTTTCTAATATTTTTTTACATGATAACAAAAGCTTTAAATCAGGGCTGTCCAACTCCAGTCCTCTAGAGCTACCATCCTGCAGCTTTTAGAAGCATCCTTGTTCCGACACACCTGAATCAAATGAATGGCTTGTTACCAGGCCATTGCCTAAATTGATGGCTGAAGAGGTAATCCAAACATTTGATTCAGCTGTGTTCGAGTAGGGATGCATCTAGAAGCTGCAGGACAGTAGCTCTGGAGGACTGGAGTTGGAGACACCTGCTTTAAATGATTGCCTTGATTGCTGTCAACCATTTTGGTCAAATGTCAAACTGCTAAAAGTGAGGTGGTGTACAGGATAATTCAGAAATCAGGTAACTTCACTGCAGTGTCCATGCTCTTCTATAGTGTAGTGAAACGCTTCTTTCAAGACATCTTTGACTCAGTTTTGTCTGGCTAGTTATGTAGAAGAGTCTAGAAAAGTCAGTTTTGTTAAAACCTCTGGGCAGTTATTTTGAAGCCTTCATTAAAGTGAACTTTAGTTTCAGTCTTCACAAACCTGCATGCTTATGTTCACTAGCTGAATCTGACTAAAGGCTTAAAAGTATTCCACAAAGTACAGTTTTAAAGTCTTATACTGTATTGGTAAGCTTTGCACTACATATGCAGCTCTCCTGCAATCCAGGACTTTAATGGTATGTCTCTTTCTAACAGTGTCTTTGACGAAGTCTCCATATTTGTGATGGAAGCATGAACGTGTATGTCTAAAAGGCTGGATTCTGTAGGACTGCGCTGCGTTTCCAATTCCATTTTGTGTAGATTATCTAAATGTAAATGCAGGACCTCAAAATGATGCTATTATTGTGCCCTCTTCTGCCTGTTTGTGTGTGACACTGAATTACAAAATAAATGCTGTAAACAGAAAGTGCAGCAGCAGACCATTGGGAGGCACTCGGACCCTTCTGACAGCTTCTCTTTCCAAACATCACAAACAGATCTGTGTGTGTTTGTTTTTTTATGTGCATTCATAGTACCTGTGTGTTTTCATCCAAGCTATTGTGTGTTTCCATGACTACTTCTGTGAATTGTGGGTGTCCTAGAGATTCATCTGTAAAGCCCGTCAACTTCAGTTACATAACAGACACACACACGCTCACTCAGACGAGCAGTTTGAGTGCCCTGTGTACACGCGTGTATGCATGTGTGGGATTGGATCGCTGCACCACCTGTATGTTGTGGGTTGTTTCAGCTGTTCGCCGGCGTTTGCGTCACCAGCGCTCCTCCATCACGCCGCAGACCATCTGCCAAGGCTGGTGTCGATACTCCAAGCCAAAGCGTGCTACGTCGCCCCACTGTGCCAAGCTGCGCCAGGCCACGAAACCCTGCTGCTGCTTCACAATCAGCTCAGGGAGTTCCAGCAAATAGACGTTTGGAATAATTTCATAAAAAGCAGATGCCTTTTTTGTTTTGTTGTTGGTGAGGATTATGAGGTAAATCCATGGTGATTTTGTGATGTTTTTCTCTGTTAGGGTCTTGCTTGAAGTTTGTATGCGTGGAAACGTGTTTTATGAGGTGAGTGCTGTGGGATGATGGGACACCTTTATTTACCTTTTAAAATTAACATTTAGCAACAACATTGTACCTTTAAGGACTCACTATTTACTCACCATTTCCTTTCATAAGAGCCAGTGGAGAAATGATTGGGCATTGCGTATTAACTATATTGATAAGAACAATGACAACTGATTGATCAGAAATCCATAAATCCTAATATAATTGAACTAAAAGTAGTCCAATACAAATAAACTCCAGGTTTTGTAAACCACATTTTATTTTCAGTCGTGACCTGTCAAGTTTTTGTGAAACTTTTAGAAGAAGAAACAGAGCGAGAAGCCAATTATTGATATTTATTGCTAATCTGGATTTGCGGTTGAAATGTAGCAGCATATAGGTGAAATCACAAAGAAAGAAGCGATCCACACTTGTGTGAGGCATCTTTTTGTGTAATCACTCTGATCAAAACAAAGCAAAGAAACAGACTGAGCCTGAAAAACAGTTTGATCACTGCATCTGCCTCCCTGTAGCCAGGAATGACAAATATCCTCCACTCTAAATTAAAAAAGGAACATATCAGAAAGATTTGATTCAGTGCAGTTTAATGCTGTCATGTCAGTATCCTGGTATAATGACAACAAATTGGTTGGCCATGAATTTAGTGATTAATTTTAAATGAGTCACTGAGAGTGCAGTGCTGTTTTTATGACCTACGCATTAAATTTCCTACTGCTCAGGAGACTTTTATGTACTAATAAAGAAAATACAGGTGGAGGGGCAGGGTTATGAGTAACAAGGGGATGATTGATTGTGTGTCTCAGAGAAAAGAATAAATCCACCGAAACAAACGCACAGGGGGAAAGAATGAGAGAAATATCTAAAATTTAGAGTCTGTGCAGGAAGTACAGGAACATGTGTAGAATTGATGTGACTGTTTCGTGTGTCCACCTGTGTGTTTGTGAGTGGTGTCGTCTTCAGACCCAGAAGAGCAGTGGGTGAGAGGTGAGTTCGATGCTCCAACTCAAGTCTCAGAGGAAACCAGATGTTGTCTGACCAAAAAATGCAACCTTTGAAACCTTACTTTGAGGGAAACAAAATGGCACAGAAAAAATTCAGACACCTGAAATACACATCCCACCGTTCAGTTGATCCATCTGTTCATAGAAGCGTCATCAGAAATGGTCTCCGTGGACGGGTGGCTGTCAAGAAGCCTTTCTCAATGAAAGAACCATCAGATTTTAATTTATGGTGCAAATAGGAAAAAAAGGCTGAGTAATGGCAAATTACACAAGAACTGAACTGGATATCAGTGGTAACGGGTCTCGAATCCAAATGAGAAAATTTGTATTCAAATAGTCGTCGACACTTGTAGAGGACAGAAAACAGGCACATTTGTCATGATTTAGAGCTGCATTTCTGTCAGTGTTCTGGAGATCTTAAAAAAATGGAATAATCAAACCAGAAAAGAACCATCAGATTTTAATTCATGGTGCAATGCCATTTGAAAAGTATCTGATTGGCAATGCCTTCATTTTTTAGCATGGCAGTGATCCCCAAACCACTACCGGTGCAGTAAAAGCATGCCTAGATGTTAAAATTACACAACTCTCCCAAGAGAGTTCAGGTTGTAAATGGTAAATGGCCTGTATTTGTATAGCACTTTACACATTCAGTCATCCACCCATCCACACACACATTCACACACTTTTATTGTGTTGAACAATAAAAGTGTTTTCCATGCACCTATTGCACCATTTCCCAGCAAAAAAGAGAGGGATGGCTCAAAAGTTTTGCACAAATATTGTATTTCCAGTTCTATACCAGCATAGAAACATGCCTGGATGTAATGAACACTGAAGTGATGATGGAGGGAGCTACAGTGCCTTGTGGTTGCTGACTGTGCTGCTGTGGTTAGCTGTCAACTGACAGCATGAAGGTTTTGGATTTAGAGATATATGTTTATTTTGGCATTTGAGAGCCTTTGTTTCTGGTCCAGCTGTTGAGGGAAATATTTGTCTTTAGCAGTTAAAGTTTATGTACCTGTTTCAGTCTCAATTCATGAGCCAGTTTACTGACACAGGTCAGTGTTATTGGTCATGTTTTGAGGCCATATGACTTTAAGGTAAACTATTAAATTAGAATCAAATTAAGTAGTAAGTGTGACATTATTTGGCGCTCGGTTCAATCAAACATTATCCCTGTAAACAGTGAGGTGAAGCAGAAAACAAATCTGAGTTCTTTAAATTGTCTCCAGTTCTGACTCACTTGTAGAAGAAACTGAAGGACTTCTGCTGATATTAAAGGTCTTGTTTTGTTGCGACCTGGTAGAGTGACTTTACATTTTGTAGGTGGCAATAGGAACAGGAAATGAGTCAGGTTTACAGAGCACTTTTAGAGAAGGCTGAGGTAATGTGAGGCACACCCGGGGCCATCTTTTCAGTGAGA